TTTTTAATATTGATAAAATCTTGTGGCTGTAATTAAAACACTCATTGAATGAGTGGACTGAGGCTACTCATTAAATCCAAATTCACACATAAGAGATAAATATTTTTTTAAAGATGATACATTTAATAAGAATAAACTCAAAAATCTACTTCTTTTTAAGTGACACCAATAATTTAACTAATTTTTCTTGATTGCTATGAGATAATTAAAAATAACTTATATGCAAAATGCATGGTAAGGAATATATGAAGAAGTATAAATAAATAAATATAGTATACATACATGTAACATATCACTGGAGAGAATGTGTCTATACACGTGAAAGAATGTGGGGAGTTTTGAATGAGACCACTGTTTCAACACTTTGTCTTCTTTCTCGGGTTCAATGTCTGCTTCTTCTTTTTTTGGTACCAATCACTTGAACTGGTTTACCTGCCAACTATTCGGTTTTTATGATTTTGTCGGTTCATTGACCGATTGACTGGTTCTTGATGCTAGTTTGTTATGCACTGGTTTTGTAACTTTACTTGCAGTTAAACTATGAACAAATCAGTCATAAACAAAGGATTATATTAATCCAGACAAAACAATTTTTGTATATCTATATAGTCATAGAATAGTTCAAGGGTTAATTTTTTGCTGGTCCGGTTTAAGACTGATATTGGTTTGATTTTACCGATTTGGCTTGTATTTGATCGGCCTTGCCAATCTTTGACCAGTTTGTTTTAGTCAAGTTTTTTGGAATAAACTAAATTAGACTAGTGATTGATTCTCGATCCAACGAGTCAAATTGATCATGCTATCCATTTTCAAACATTGGAAGATAATGAGAAAGATAACATATGGGACTCACGCGTTCTCCACCCCCAAAAAAAACAGAAGAGATTTTGGAAAGTCAACTTCATTTTTAAATTTATTCACAAATATTTTTATTCCTTGCCTTTTGCTAATTCTAAATGCTAATTTTAAAGTAACTATAGAAATATTAATTTTAAATTTTCAAGGTTAATTTTTCATTTAAGTGCCTTATATTTGTTTGTAGTTTAAAATTTTTATACTATTATATATTTTATAATTTAAGAAATAAAATCTACAATTGGATAAACTATGTGAATTGGATAAAACATTTCCAAATATAGTTTTATTAAATTAGTTATATATAATAGTAAATATATATAAATATTTTTCCTGAAATAATAAAATTATTCCTGTCCATGTGAAATTGGTAATTTTTTCCTACTTCATGTTTTTTCTTGCTCAACTAAATAAATGGAAAGAAAATCACATCCATCCATATTTCTGTTTTCCATTTTTCTTCAATTGGTGTGCCTCATAAAATATTGATTGTTATATTTTAGTATACTTTTACTTTAATATAATAAAATATTAATATTTTATTCTTCCATTACAAAAAATAATAATATATGGACCATAGTTAAATTTTCATACGAGGCTGTTATAGTCACAGGTCAACGATCAAGTCACTTGATTATATCGACTTTTCTAAAGCCTTCGATACAGTCACATGTAATAAAATTCGACGGAATGAAAATGACATCTCTAGCCTCGAACATATGATCTATAATTTAAAAATGCTCTATACATCTCACTAATAAACATATCTAAAAAAAGGTAAAAAGTTTTAATATTCCATAAGAAGATAAAGTTTAAATTTGTATACAACTATTAATTAAATCATATCTGTCTGTCTATATATATATATTTTTTTTTTTCAATTTATAAATATTGTTAACATCAATCAGTTATAAAAGCATTACAACTCTAAATTGATGTGCGAATCATATTTTAAATAATTTTTATTGCATATTATGCGTTTATTTTATATCCTGAAAGTTATTCTTTGAGCCCCTATCAATGAGATCGAATCTTAGTTATTTTTTATACCTCATCACATGTATTGCACAGAGGTAAAACGTTAGGAGTTAATGTTACAAGTTTTGTTGCGATCGTTTACTTTGTATCTCTGAATTTTCCAAGGTTCACAACTTTGGCAACCTTAATTTTATGTTTCCATGCAGAGCTATCATTGTTAAATGCCACTAAAAATCAACATAACTACTTTAAAATCACTACAATTATTTTGAAATGGAAATAGTATATAAAACCCAATCTATAATTTTTTTTTCATGAGTTATATGAATATCAAAATTCATTATTCTTCAAACTCTATGGTGCCCCCACCTAACCAATCAACATATCAAGTATAAAACTCATATTGAAGAATTTACAAAACTACATATGTATATATGATGCGCCTCAAAAAAATTCTGGCTCTATGGCCTAATTATTACAATGAATAATGTGAACCAAAGTAGTCAAATCGATGGTGCGAGAGCATGAGAGTCTCCTTCCACAGCACGTGCTTCGTCGTCACGTTCATCGGAAAGAACCCTGAAATTTCCCACCAATTAAATGGCCTTAACATGGACGTCCACTAAACCTAATTCCACTACAGCTTAATTAAATTAACATGCATGTGCAGTCTTTCTGACTTTTTCTTGCTTTTCCATAACTGATCGAAGATTGGAGACGACCTAGGTCCTCATGACTCTCGCTTTTAGTATGCACCAGAGACCTAATTCTAAAGTATCTAGACTTCATCTCTACATATATAAACATATATGTTGATGACCTTGACTAAATCAAATTAATTCCATCTCGTAACTAGTTCATGTTATATCCTCGATCGATCAAAGCAAGAATGATGATGATGATTAAAGAGTGTTTGTATAATGTTTTGCCTTTATTATGTGCTGATAATCAAATCTGATTACAGTTCTGATGAGAGAAGAATCTCCATGTTGACCGCGCTTAATTGTTCCACTAGTTTCCTTGCATGACAGAAAATAATGAATCATAGCTTATGCAACACTCATCGCTCTAATTGAGCTGTCGATGGATTTTCAAATATTAGATACATAAACTTGTATAATAATAGATTTTAAGTTTGAGTCGTGCCTTGTACACTACCTTTAAAAGTTATTGTACCGCAACATACCGATTGCACCGCAAGTTTTCAGGATTAAACAGACTTGTCTTACGAAAATGAATAGGAGCACAAAACAATAGAGACTAACAAAATAATATATGTACTCAAGCAACCACAATAGCACAGAGGAGAGGAGGAATGAAGTGACTCAAAGCTCAAAAGTCATGCACTGGGATTGCACACTTCGATATATATAGGCACGGACCTAGGTGAATGTTGGGCGGCCATTTACTCATGTTAATTAACCGGTTTCAAAAAATAAATCCCATATAAAACCTAGGTTACTAGATATTCGCAAAATTTAAACCGTTTAATGGTTAAATTAAATAACAATTGAACTCATTTAAGGACAATTAAATTAACCACCGTTTATGAGAACCAAGGTTTTCATATAAGCAATATTAAATTAAATTAATAATTATTTTTGCAAAAAAATTTTGGTAAAAAAGAACTTAGTATCCCTCTAACTCGCACAGAAGGAGGTAATTAAATTGGCTATTGTCAACTGTGTAATTGTCCCACACTTAAGCCCACTTATTCTCTAAACTCACTTATTAATCTACTTTCATTCTTTAAAATTTATACACTATGAGTTTTTCTCATGTGTAAAATATGAAACTTCTTCTTTCAGCATACTTGAACAATAATTACAACAATAATTTCTTCATTAAGTCAAGCTCTGAGAAAGAAGTTTGGTTATGCCAAACTCTTGAGCTTGCAAGATGTGAATGATAATGGCGATGGAAGAAGAAACTTTTGCCATCATGCATGTCACTTGTCTACACCATGTCCCACCCACTATTTCCTGCTTCATATCACCCATGTCTTATCCTCCTTTTTCCATCATCATGTAGTACCTGTATAACACAACCACAACAATGGGGGTCAAGTCTTGTATGGAATCCAAAGAATGGATAACACTTACATAACCTACTTTCGGAGATCTCGAGCTACCATTCAAACTGGCACAAGTTCAAATTCTGCCTAGAGTATATAATATCTGAGGAAGTGATGATACCCAGCTTTTATTTATAGATTTCTTTTTTTTTATCCCATCATTTAATATCCTAAAAAATTTGGAAGACTTGAACTCAAGATTCTATAATAATTTGATTCAACTCTCTCAAACAATTGAATCGAGCACTTATCAATTTTATTTACAGATTTATATTTTGTTTTGAATATACTAAGCTCCAAAATTATGTACACAGGATTAAACTGTGAGTGATTTGTGCTTTGTCTGAAGTTTGAGTAAGTCATGTAATTTACTATTTATAATTAATATAAAATTTTTGAATATATATGTTGAATTTTATGTTTTAAATTGAATATTGACCTCCCTCACTCGCACTCGCAGGCATGTATTTTGTTGACTATAAGTGACTGTTAAAACACGCAGCATTTAAATCTTGCTATGTATACTTTGTAGTTTCGATTAACGAATCAACTCCAGCCGGTAATTAATCATAACTCGCTTTCAGACCCCGGTTTCTTCATCAACTCTCTTACGTAGCATTCTACAGAAGCTAAGCATGCATATATCATAACCTTTGTCAACATATATATATATATATATATATATTATTCATACAATCCTGATCTAGAATTACTTATAGCTATAGTATGAATTTATCAAAACTTGATATTAATATTAATTTTTTTTAATCTTAGTAAGACCAGATTTAAAAACAAGTTAAAACTGTTTACAATTATGTCATTTTCCCACTGATAGCTTTGGGCCATTGTATTTGCTAGCTGTTGGTTTATGTGTTCTAAATCCGAGTCCCATGATCCCCCAGCACATGCCAAATTTTAAAACCAAACAAAAAACACAAATAATTGTAACGCAGTTGCATCCGCGTGGTTGTGGAAAATTGGCACCCAGAAGGGTTGACCACGAGTCAAGTTAATTACGCTATATAATATAAATCAATATTATATCTATATATATTAGCTATGGTGCTCTCTCAGGCTCAGCTCCTCACTATATATTGCCTCTATAGACTCTAGAGGCTACGACACAACCACAAGGGAGTTGATTTGTATCCACAAAGCAGCAAACTTCAGAACGCATGTACCAACGTATACACGATGGTGGTGAGCTCACATGTACATTACTCGAACGAAACATGCGCGCGCACACACTCACACAGTTTATAAATAATACAATTTGTTATGAACGTTACATTATAGATGTCTTGATGTTGATTTTTCAATATTATCATTGCTCTTGGGTCGAGTTCTAGTTTCTGTTACTACTATATTATTGGTGCAGCAAGTAATGGCTATAAAGGTGGGAATGAACAGTAGTAAAAACAGAACCAAGGCTCTGAAACTTGCTGCCGGTGCGCAAGGTGCATGGTTAATTATATATGAACCCTTTTTGCCGCTATGAGTGAAGTAATTCAAATAATAAAAACATACTTAACTTGCAGGAGTGATATCAGTGGAATTGGAAGGCGAAGATCAAGTGAAAGTGATAGGAGAAGGAGTGGATGCCGTTTGCTTGACCTGCGTTCTGAGAAAGAAGTTTGGTTTTGCCGAGCTCTTGAGCTTGCAAGACGTGACTGATAATGGCGATGAAGGCGGCGGCGGCGATGGAAGGAACTCCAGTTCTGGCGACCAAGAGCCGCCGCCAGCTTTTGCCTATCATCAATTTCCTTGTCCGCCGTGTGCGTACCTGATTTATGATCCTCATCCTTATGACCCTCCAATCTGCTCCGTCATGTAATACCTATCAGCATATATGGTCTTGTTGGCCGGCGGCGGGTTCTCTCGCACTTTATATATGTATTGCGTGGAGAAGTTTGAAGAATATGAATCGTGTTTACAAGGAGATTTTGAGGGGTCATTTATTATGACTTAGCAAAATCAAATGGTCCCTAAGTCTCTTTTTTATTAATTAGATATAGATTGTCGACTCTCGTTCGATATTTATTTGACGTAATTATTTGTAGCCGACTGGCCGGGGTTACTACGATAAGAAGCACTTGAAAGCGCGCGATAAAATGATAATCACTTGCGTGGTTTGATATATAAACGATGTATTAATTGTTATGTGACGTTTGCTTCATCGTGGTGTTAGTTATTCCAAAGAAATGATGATTTAAAGTTGTTAACACTTAACATGTTGATAGTTAAACTTATCACAAAACAAGTTTTTTACATTGAGTGACCTTTAATTAAGAACCTTGTATTTAAGTAGTTATTTAATGATTTAATCATGTCCAAAATCAGATCAGCATTTATCCCCGGCCCATTAGTTCTTCCTCCCTCAACACAAATTCATTCTTTTCCTCTTTCCAATGTTGTGACTAGGTCCTTTATTATGGATTTGGATATAATGACGGTAGGCATTGAATACTTGTATCATTTAAGTTATTAAAATTTATATATTCATGATTAAAATAAATTTACTTATTTATTAATTTTAAATAGAATATGAAATTTGAATCATTTATCTAGACTTCAATGATTGAGGTAATATAGACACTGAGTGCTTATATTAAGTGCAATTGCCGAATTTAAGTCCCTTTTATTAGTAGCAAATAAAGCTTCATTTGTTGCCATAACCCTTGCTAGTTCCCTCCACACAAATTGCTATGTATATCTTTTGGACTTACCTAAGCTAAAAACCTTGGATCTCCTCCATTGTTTTCATTCTTCGTCTTCCTTGCCTCTTTAATTTTTAACCACACAGCTTCTACAGATTAGATTAGATGCGCTCCTTCTCATTACATCCATCATTGATAATACCTCCCTTTTAGCTAGCTTTAATTACCACATGCATACATACATACATGGTTTTCGCCTCACCCAATCTTACATTACTTTTTTTGTTTTAGTGTACGTGGGAATTAGTTGAAAGTTTTAGTTTTAATTTTAAAACCCCCGATGGTACCAAAAAAAAAAAAGCTTTTAACAACATAAAATTTTAATAAAGACCCCTTGACTATTGTTAATAAAAAAAATTCAAAAATTTTAAAATTTCACTGCAATTTAAATATATTGCAATAAAATTAAAATATTAAGGGAAATTACTTGGCTGCCCTTGTTGAAAGATAATTGTTTGTCCATTATTGTAAATTATTTGTTTTTATATATACTGTTGTTCATTACAATAAACAATTTAATATAAGATAATGAATAATAATATGTAGAGAAATGAATAACTAAAATTAGCATGGTGACAACACTTGAAAATGAAATCAATTAAAATAATAGATAAATAACAGATAGCAGGATGATGAATAACTTAATATAAGGCAATGAATAATAGTATGTGAGGAAATGAATAACTCATGCTAGCATGATGGCAACATTGGGAATAAAATCAATTGAAAGTAATTGACAAACAACAAACAATAGGATAATAAACAATTTAATGTCGAGTAATTAACAATAATATGTAAAGAAGTGAATAATTAATGCTAGCATGATGACAACATTTGGAATAAAAATTAACTAAAAATAATGAATAAACAATATACAGGAAGGCAACAAACAACTTAGTGCAGGGAAACAAACAAATCGTGTTGACAAAGTAATAGCACTTGGAATGAAATTAATTGAAAATAATAGACAAACAACATATAATAGGGCAATGAACAACTTAATGCAGGGTAATGAAAAACAAACTATAGGAAAACGAGCTACTTGTTTTTGTGTCATCTGGATGTGTTTCATGGAGATGGCTAATCTTGTCATTTCCTTCAATATTTTAATTTTATTGCAATACCCTAAGATTATAGTGAGATTTTAGAGTTTTTGAGATTCTTCTTTTTATTAATTATGATCAAGGGGCTTTTATTGAAAATTTTCCTTTAACAACAATTGAAAAACTGAGTTCTACCACGGTTGAAAAAGTAATGTTTACTTGAGATGTTGAAAGTCATTTATTTTACATCCATCTTCCAACTGTTATAATAAATTAATTTTACAGTAAAACCAATATAAAAATGCATTAAAAAAATTTAAAAAAAATAAATATACCACTTTCTACCATGATTACGTCAGCAATTATTAAACGTAATAACCGTGACAGAAAGTAGATAATTGATAATATGCTAACATAAGTTATTAAAGTGAGAGGTATTTTCCTAACAGTTTAGCTAGAAAAATTTTTGAGTTAGATAATTTTTTGTATATCTTTGATGAAAGATCACCTTTGATATCAAGGTGGTAGTTGATAAAACATTTTCTTTTCTTATTATAATGCCTGTTTTAGTTTAACGAAGTAAAGTTTTAATTTTCAAGTAATGATATATCATATAGGTTCCATTAAAAAATTTAAAATTAAATGAGAGGTATTTTGGAAAAATCAAAAAACATTTTTAATCAATAATTAGCTTATTTAATTTTTAGATTTTTGTTGATTAGTTAACTAACTCAATTAGTGCCGGAGGGATTACTCTTACATACATGCCCGTAATCTTGGTGTAATTTGAAACTTCATCACTGCTGTTGCTGTAGCAAAACTCTGATAAAGGAGACAACCTTCTAATGCGGATATCCATATTCATCGGGTCGGATCACACGAACCGCCTCCGACAATGCTTGTGTTTCACGTCCTCATCCACGACTAATTTTTCTTTTTCGTTGATTAAAAAAAAAAAAAAAAAAACTAAAGGTGGACCGGAATGCGGTTGTAAGAAAGATGACGAGAAGTAGATCAAAGATCTAAGACCAGAGCTCAGAGGTGAAGGGAACGAAGAATGGGTACGACGGTGGCGGGATTGGCGCCGGGACTTTCTCGGAAGCTGAAGAAGGTCTTGGAATCCAGGACTGATACGCCTGATCTCCTGTCCTCCCTCAACACGCTCTCTTCCTTCTACACTGACAACACTCCTCAATCCCGCCGCAACCTCCGATCCACCATTGAAAAGCGGGCTCTCTCTATCAACCTCGAGTTCCTCGCTGCCTCCGATGTTGTCCAACTGGTGATGAGCACTTCGCCTATGCTACAACTTCTTGTGAATTTTCACTTGCTTTCATTATTATGATCTAATTTCCTTTGTGCATCTCTTTCTTTACTGGATTTTTAGGCCTTGGATCGCGTGGAGGAAGAGGTGAATGCCGTCGCTGAATGCTGCGACAGGTGTGAATTTTTTATCGCTTTTTCTTCTTTGATTATATTGGCTGATGGCTAGTTCAGAGAGGCTACGCTTGCAGCAATTCATTATTTTTATACGTCATTTTGGGAACCAAATGATGCAAGAGATAAATTTGGATTCTCTGCCTAATGTATGCAAGGACTTTCGTCCTGGGATCCGGAAACTTATCAACTCTTCATGTATTTAGATGCTTTGATGTTGTCGAGACAAACTTGGACTGGAGATCAATAAGTGCATACTATTAATCTGAGTAGCCCAAATTTGAGCCGCATTGACTTCTAAGGAAGTAATAATATCACTAATTTTGGATAAAAAGGTCAATTGAGATGAATATGTAATACCCACATTACTCACCCTTTTTTAATCTTTAGCTGTGGATGGAGAAGTTGGTTTCTTAGCCGTCTAGGAGATGGCTGATACGCTTAACTTCTAGAATTGAAACCATTTGTCCATTCGTATGGTAAAATTTTCAACTTTCTTGTGGTTTGTTCTATGTCCAATTCATCACTCAATGGTATTTTGGAAGATTTCAACAAAAATAGGGATGTAAAACCATGCATAGTTTCATTGCTGGAGGTATGTTTCCCTTATGTTTTGAACAAATTCATCGTGAATCTTGCTATTTCAGTTCAAAGTAATTCAATAATTGGCACTATTTTGTTTGAGGGTTGAAACTTCAGGAAAATTAGGTTTTGAGTGATGCTTTATTTATCACTTTCATGTGCTATTAGGATATTGTCCTCTTATGATATTAAGGTTACCTTCAAACTCCTCTTATATTATTCTTCAATTAGAATTAATTCATTGTTTGGTCATACTATTCCCTTTAGGATATTTTATTAAAAAGGATTAAGGTTCAAATCTTTTACAGGATATCAAAGGCCTTGAATAGTTGCAGTGCTACCACAGGTGACATTATCAGTACCACAGAGAGGCTCAAACAAGAACTTGAAACTACTACACAAAGGCAAGAGATTGTGTCATGTTTCCTACGTGATTATCAGCTCTCCCCTGAAGAGGTTGAAGTTATTGTTTCATATCTTACAAAGATTGAACGGTCACTTTGTAATTCAAATAAGACATGCTCATATCACCTTCATGCTTAGAGTAAATTGTTGGTCATCCACAGATAAGTGCACTTAGAGATGAAGAACTTAATGAAAATTTTTTCAAAGCACTCTCTCATGTCCAAGAAATTCATGCAAACTGCAAAGTGTTGCTTAGGACACATCATCAGGTAATTTTTCCATTTCCTTCTCTGCCTCATTCCATTTTCACTCTGAGCTGCATGCAAAATTCAACACAATATGTAATCAAATGCATATTTCATTTTGTTTTTGGGCCAAATAGAGTAAATGTCTGAATTGTATCTTTTCTCAATTCTAAATACCTATATGGTCTTCAATCTTGCATAGATGGTGAGAGACCTATTGTCCGACTACAGCTGCAAACATGGACATATCATTCAAAAGATGGATGTTGAAACAGTTTGCTTGAATATCTAAAATTCAAATTGTTTGTGAAATATAACAGGAATAGGGATTAAGAGGTTGGTGGTATAGCTGGATGAGTGAGAGGAATTTGATTAAGAGGGGAATATTTAGGAGGATCTGTGGTGAAAGGGAGGCAGGGGTGGATCTGAAGGTTCTGCGGGAGAGACTCTTGCCTCTTGATGGCTACACACTGTTGTTTGTTTTCTGCTTAAAGTTTATGCTACTTTCATTGTTGTTCTATTTTTCTTTTACTATCAACAATGCTGGAGTGATTTATGTGCTTTGTAATAAAGTGCCATCCAATTACTTTGAAAGTGATAAGATTTTTTTTTATTATTTCTATTATTTAATAATAGTGAAGTAATTCTTCCCTTTTGGTATCAACTCCTATAATATTGTGATTTGTGCATGCTTTATGGATCTGAACAACCAGGATGAAAATTTGTTTGTGATTTTGTTGTGTGAGAAGTTTCTGCCAGAGCCATCTGTATGCTCCATTCATTGAACAGTGTTAAAGAACAGTGTACACACATTTTTCACGTTATATTTTTATCAGGGACTTTGATATTATACTTTGCACCTGAAATATATGTTTAAAATTCAATAATTTTAATGTAATGCCGATATTTTAATTTCTATTCAATAATTTTAATGTGATACGGATAGTTTAATTTCTGTGTCATGGACTATATTATTGGGTTGGATGAGCTGTGTCCTTCCATTTTTTGTTTTAATAAAACATGGGGCTCATTGCCAATGAACTAAAGGATCAAGACCGTATCTTTCCATTTCTCTGTTGCCAATATTAGTTATATGTTCCCTACTTCTACAATTTTCAGTTTGTGCTGATCTTTTTCGGGAAGTTTTCTCCATTATTTTCCTGCCATTTTGTGTTTGAAAATAATATTTCATTTTTTATTGACTTTAAGAATTTCATTGTAGCGTGCTGGTTTAGAGCTGATGGATATGATGGCTGTGTACCAAGAAGGAGCTTATGAGCGCTTATGCAGGTGAAGATTGATCTGCTTTAATAACAACCATTTAATCTTTCACTAAAAAAAGGAAAAAAAAATCATCCAATTCATGATACCTTGGCGATACAAGCAGCCCATAACCCCCACGTTTCTGTGATTTGTTTGTTGGCAAAATGTTTATTGAGAATATTTATTTGAACATCATAGAAGAGCTATTCTTAGCAACAATTGGAAAGAGAATAGATAAGAGCTTTGTTAAAAATGCAAAGGTTTGATTTACTTTAAGTGGGATAGCTAATGAACTAAAAAGCTCAAATTTCCCCTAAAATATGTTATGATACATAATGTGTTAGCATAGTAAAATTAATTAATAGACGGTAAGCAGAGCCTTTACAAATAAGATTTTACATCTGCACATAGTTGGCCGAGGGAAAAAAAGGTATTACTGCATGTGATATTGAAATGGCTGTCAAAGATAAAGTTCCTTCCAGAGTGTTGCCCCTCTTACCGACTCTTCAAAGTTGTTTTCTTATGGCAATTGGCTAACCTGACGATATACAACTATTTGTTAATTTTGCCTATAGGTGGGTACAGGCAGAATGTCGAAAGCTGGGTGACACTGACAATCCAGAAATTAGTGAGCTCCTGAGAACGGCTGTGTGCTGCCTCAGAGAAAGGCCTGTCCTTTTCAAATATTGTGCAGAAGAGGTGATTCCAATATGAATCTGATCAATTTATTTAACATTTGACAAATCCAATTTTTGTTGGGATTTGGATCCTGTAATATTCCAGCTTGAAACTGAAATACGTGATATTAGGAAAATTGTCAACTCCACTGCCTCGTTCACAGATCAGATCTCGCATTAGAACATAATATTGTTAATGTTTTTTAAAGAATATTCTATTTGAATTGAAACTCAAGTTTCCCTTATCTTTGATTTTGCATCACAAGATACCAATTTCTGGTTTTGTAGGTTGCCAATATGAGACATAATGCATTATTTAGAAGATTCATAAGTGCTCTTACCCGCGGAGGACCTGGTGGAATGCCTCGACCAATTGAGGTTCATGCTCATGACCCATTACGATATGTGGGTGATATGCTTGGGTGGTTACATCAGGTACGAGTCCGTCATGACAATCTAGTGGGTGAATGCTTGAAGCCACTCCTGGTGCTGCATTTTTTCATACGGCCTTTTTTGTTCATGTATCCTAATTTTATTGTATTGCACTTACACACAGGCCTTGGCATCTGAACGTGAACTTTTACTTATGTTACTTGATCCAGACACACAAGTGGATTCTGGGCCAACAATAGATCAGTTCTCCAAGAGCCCTGAGAATGGCTCTGGGAAGACAGAATCTGACTTGACATTTGTTCTGGATAGAATTTTTGAGGGAGTTTGTCGGCCATTTAAAGTGAGGGTTGAACAAGTTTTGCAGTCTCAACCAAATCTGATTGTCTCTTACAAACTGAGTAACACCCTTGAATTTTACAGCTACACGGTGAGCTGTCATCAATTTTCCCCCTTTGATAGTATTGGTCCCACACATATTTTTTGTCTTAACTTCATATGATCTTGCAGATTTCAGATCTGCTTGGGCGAGAAACTGCACTTTGTAATACACTATGGTTGCTGAAGGATGCTGCTCAGAAAACATTTTTTGATATTTTGAAAGGTCGTGGAGAAAAGCTTTTACGATATCCCCCTCTTGTTGCTGTTGATCTTTCCCCTCCTGCAGCAGTAAGAGAAGGAGTATCTGTCCTCCTTGAAATTATTGATAACTATAATAGCATGATGGTTCCTGCTTGTGGCAAAAAGCCTCCTTTTGATTCAGTTATATCAGCAGTACTGGATCCAATAATTCAGGTGCATGCTTCCATCTCTGTCAATCTGGTACCTGCATTTGCACTATGATCTGTTAGCCGGCATGAAACAAAGTGATTCTAGTGGTTCAAAATTTGAGCTTCCTTTGTAACTGCTGCCTTTGATTCCTACATATTCCTATAATTTAAAACATCCCGGGATTTTCTTCCTGCTTTTACTAAGCTAAAATGTGATGTTTTAGAATGTACTGGCCTTTCACACATCACACTAAATATGACCTAGATCCATTTGCTTGATTTGGTCCTTGTCAGACAATGGACTCACCATTCACACATCATACTAAATATTGCCCGGCTCTCTCTGTTAAGCACTCAGCTGTAGGCCTGTCTTGACTCTGGTCCATTAGTCCATTTCAAGAAACCTTGAACTAGCTTTAACTTTAATGAAATCATAGAAGCTGTCTATTGCAGATGTGTGAGCAAGCAGCAGAGGCACACAAGTCCAAGGGCGGTGGGCATTCATCCAGGAGGAGTAGGATGAGTTCTGACTCCAGTCAAATTAACAAATCATCAGTTGATGCAATCTTGTCAACAAGTGGCTCTGCTCCATCCTCCCAGGTCCCTCGCTCTTAAACCTTTTGTCTTTTTCCTTCACTCTTGCCCCGTACTAATTATTGCTGCTTCTAGGTTTCATGGTTTTCTCCACTGAGTCCTGCTGCTTCACTAATGAAATTTTATAGCTTCCATGTATATATTTTCCTTCACTTTTTATGCTTCCAATGGCCATTATTTGATTGCGTACTGTCCTGTAAAATTATATCGGGAGAATTGAAACCAAAATTTAACTATAATGCAGTTTTGGCAGAGGTGTCCCTTGAACTTGCTTGCCATTTCTCAATTGTAAATTAACGTGGACCAACGAGTAAAGCCCTATGCTCTAATGTGAAATTAATGTTATGGTTTGGACCAACGAATAAGGTGGACGAAAATAATGAAGGAGCTTCAAACATAATAAAACTCTCAACGTGGACTTATTGATTAATGATAAGTAAGAAGTTTTATCAAGTGTCTGATGTGTTCTTTTGGCAGACTACTGAGACCCCATCCAAGATATTCTTGATCAACTGCTTGTGTGCTATTAAGCAACCTCTAGATGGACATGATGTGGCTGCTGATTATGTGCGAAGGCTCGGGAAGATGATCGATAATCACCTGCGGGTACTTGTGGACAAAGAAGTCGATGCCATGTTAAACAGATGCGGGTTGTCACAAAAGATGAGCCACTTCCATAACTTCATATTCAACAAGCAAGGGGACAAGGAAATGGTTGGGGTCCCGTTGGCAGAGATGGAGGACACAAGTCCAGCCAATCTTGCAGAGTGTCTAAAAGCTCTGTTTGGTCTTATTTTGGGAAGTGAGAGTTCATTGCCTGAATTCGAGCAGATGCTGGTTCCACAGTTGCGGTCTGAGGCTTGTATTGGTGTGGCCAGGTCACTGGCGGAAGCTTATGAGCTTATTTACAACGCAATTATGGACCCCAATAATGGTTATCCAGACCCTAGGTCATTGGCTAGGCATCCTCCTGATCAGATAAGGACTATATTAGGAATTTGAGTTCTATGCTGCTTTTTCTCACGTCTTCAACCATTATGTTTGTATGTCCCGTAAATATTCTCTTCATTCTTTTTGTAAGGTGTTACTCTTCAACAAATGAGTCTATCATGTATTTCTTTTAATATTCTCGGAATGGTAGATTTTGATTTTTTTTTTTGAGCTAATGTAATGATATTGTTTCTGTTAATGTATTTGGAAATTAGAAGATTTACTTTTAGACCTCTCGCGATGCTTTGGAAATTCATGCATCGGGCAGACTGATCAACATAATGCTGTTGAACAATTGAGAGTAAACTAAAGAAGTAATTTTCCTAGTAAAACAAGGGGAAATTCTGCTTCCCGGTCTTTTACAATATTTTTTCCAAAAATGCTTTACCCTTTAAACAATGGTTAACATTATGAAATAAAAATTGTATTCATGTCTTTACCATTAATACTTATCGAAAAAGGGTTTCAACCTTTCGAGAAATAAAAAGTTGAACGAAAAAGAATCATATATGAACTTTCTGATTTAAAAAGTAAGATTAATTGAACCGCAAAGCTATTTATATCAAGGGAAAATTATCACAAAGGATTTTAAAAAATAATATTTATCGGAGAGAACCTTAAAAGTAGTTATTATTTAAAAGGAAAAAGTATCCAAATATAATTTTAAAAATACTACATTGACCGTTACTGACAAAAACACATTATTTAAAAGAAAATTATTTTTTAATACAACAAGGAGATGAAAAACAATAAATTAAAATAAAGATAAAATTCTTACAAAAAAAAAAAAACAAAGCTGCTCAATTAATGTCCAAGAACTATAGCATGTTAATAATTTCATCTCTTTTAAAAATCCACGAGTCGAGAAATTGAAGCCGCGCGACCTTGGCAAAATTGAATAATTCTTTAAAAGTAAAAATTTTTAAAATTATGTTGATTTAATTTTTAAAAGCAAAGATTTCATACATATATATGTTGATTCAATTCTTTAAAAGTAAATATTTTTTAGATTATATTGTTTTAATTAAATTTAAAACTAACTTTTGTTTGTACGTGTGTGTGAAATTAAAAATTTTATAAATTTATTTTTAAAAGAGTACTTTTGTAAATTGGGTAGTACCTCATGTTAATTTTAAAGTTGACAGATTTCATATTAAGGTTATAGTTTTCAATTACACTAACTTTTGGTCCTTCTTTGTTATTTTCTGCCAGCACTTTCTTTTGGTCCTTCATCTTAATTTTAATTTTTTTGGTCTTTCATAATAAATTTTAGCAGTATTGGATCCCTCTTCCCAATTTTCCCTTACATAAATCAAGACTAAAATTTTTATGAATATACTGCTCGTCACGATTCTTGTGCTTTTGCTTAAAAAAATTGCTTGCTAGTTTAATTGCAAGATGAAAAGTAGATCTTACCACTCACTCTGTTTTGCCAATGAAAATTAAGTAGGGTCTGTTTTTTCCTTTCATAAATACATATATAATACAATACACAACATCTAACGATTTAACAAGAGAAAACCTTTCACATTGGTTGAAGATTGTAGATAAGCATTGAAACAAAAAGATGTGACAGCAATCAATAAATGTTGATCTAGTGGATAATGATTTGACCTATAACTTATAAGATCATAGGATTAAAGCCTGCTATCAATGCAAGAATCCTATTGATAAGCAATCTAGAAATATATATATATATATATATATATAAGTGCTCTTTGAATTAAAAGATATATCCTGACTTTAATGAGCTCTCTAAATTCAATTTATTTAAACTTTTAATTTTCAATTACAATTAATAAAAGAAGACGTGACAAGAGTTATAGGTTGAATAAAACACACCAAGACAATCTTTAATCATATATATGTGACACACACGCGTGCATGCACCTACCCTAATTAACACAATCTTTAATCTCTTTTGGAAAGTTAAAAGAACGACTAAGACTAAACGAGTGTGATATATATGATTGTGGCTGAAGATAGTGAAGCCAATCATTATCACCATGCATCTAGATATGATCAAAAGTCTCATTTAAGCCGATCGCTTCGCATTAATAAAATCAACGTTAACTTTGTGTTGTGTATGTGTGCGTACGTATATCTCTCACTTACAAAAAGAAGAGCCATAATCGAGTCTAAATCAATCCATCTATATTGGAGCCTTCGCAGAGAAATCAAGTTGAAATTAGGTGTTGATACTGATAGCTTTTAGAAATCATTAATGTTGGGAGAACTTTAATGTTATAATATTATTTATGACATTAACATGGAGAAATTAATTAAACAACAAGCAAAAGTATCCAATCTTTTGACTTTGAGGGATCTGCGTTCCTTTTCTGTTCCCTTTTCAAGTATTTTTCACCACAAAACTATTCCTTTTATATCAATCAATTTTATCATTTGAAAAGTACAAATATTTTTAATGAATGAAAAAATAATTATATATTTCTTCCATTAAAAAATGTAAGGTATTTTTAACCGAATCTCATTCCTCAATAAAATTCTTACTTATTTTTATATTAACCTATCTTTTCATATTTATTTCTATTAACTATCTTATAATAAATATAAAGTCACCATTAATAGGGACACTTTAAAAAAAAAGATAATAATTATACCTTAAAAAATTAAAAATATCTTTTATTTTTAAAAATTTAACTCCTCAAAAAATATTTTATATTTTTAAATGGAGGAAGTAATTTTTAGTCTCCCAACTTTCTTTCATTTATATCAATTCAGTTTTTAAGCTTTTGGCTCTTAACAAATCAATACTTGCTATTTACCCAGTCAACGAATGACAGTGACTGAGCTGTTCTAAGTCATCAAAAACTTGTTTTGAGTCCATAAACTATAAGAATTGAATTACTTTGAGGCAGAATTCAAGAATTGAATTGATAATTAAAAAAATTCACGATGAGAGTCACAATTTCAAATAAGAAAAGAAATCCAAATGTGTTGTTGAAAGCTCCCTCGCTCAGTCCAGGAGGTTCGAAAATGATATAACAGTACAGCACCATATATTTTTTATATAAGTGGTAAATTAATTTAAACCTTTTGTTTCCTCAACGTCACAGCAAATGGATAAGGGAACTGTTCGAAGTTGAACTTGGTGACTAAAAGCCATCCATAACGATTCATGTGTCTCGATGAAAACCATATTTTTTAAATCACGGGTGATTGTAAACATCCACATATCTTTTTCACCAATTCCTTTCATCAACATATTCGCATACTTATTTTATTTCCAGTTACAAATTAGTAATTTTCTAGTGAAAATTTAATCATTAAATTAATTGGTATGAGTAATTTAAAATTTATTGGTTCGATAATATGTGAAACGCTTATTGAGCATTGGAACAAATAATTATAAAATATTATTATTTTTTTATATAAAAAAAGTTTAGATGAGTTAGGTCCTGAAGACTCACCAGAGCTATACATATCTCTAAATTTAAAAAACGTTTATAAAATTAAATATTTATAAATTGTCTACCAATAAAGTCTTTATATCAACAGTAAAAATTAATCTTACAATCTTATAAATTATGGCTAAATCTTTATCAATTGACTTTGAATTTGATTGGTTGAAATATCGTGTTTTGTTTCAAGAAAAATCATTACATTGGCATGGGCTCTATATATTCGCAGTCTCAGTCAGAGTCGAACGGAACATGAAAACAGTAGAGAGATCTAGACGAGACAGGGAATCCAACTTTACATCACTTTTGCATTCAAGTGTGATGAGTTCGATGCTCCAGATTGAAAACATTTACAAGTTGATCAAGATTCATGCATTAAGCCCACCATATGTACGTTGTAGAATGGTGAATACTTAAATATATAATTTATTTATTTGATACCCATAGGGGATTATACTGATCAAGTGAAAAACAGTAGTTGTTACAACAACAACCCAAATTTGAATCCCTGTGCGTTGAAAGAGAGAGACCTCACATTTGAATAAACCTAACATTTCTAGAATCGAAAATATAATTGATGGAACGAGACACCGAATAGTCGGCAAATATATAAATAATTAGAATTTATGAACTATATCAGAAAACTGTGAAAGAATCATTTTATCAGTTTAAATTAGAAAGGGAATATAATAAAAAGCAATTATAGTTTATATGCACAGAGGATTATATTGATCAAGTGAAAAGGAGTAGTTGTTACAACAACAACTCAAATTTGAATCCCTGTGCGTTGAAAGAGAGACTTCACATTTGAATAAACCTAACATTTCTAGAATCCAAAATATAATTGATGGAATGAGATACCGAATAGTCGGCAAGTATACAAATAATTAGAATTTATGAACTATATCAGAAAATTGTGAAAGAATCATTTTATCAGTTTAAATTAGAAAGGGAATATAATAAAAACCAATTATAGTATGGTGATAGTAAGGAGCAAGGTAAAGGAAATGGAATCGGAAGCAGCATCGTGAAAGAGTGAACAAGAGATGGAGAAGAGAAGAAGACGAAGGTTTGTTGTGGGCAGAGACAAAAGGTGGAAATGAATGACACTGATCTGAGGAATCTTATCACAAAGCAAAAGAGCAACAGTGTGTGATGCTCCATCTCTCCCACATTACATGGTCCTCGACACTTGCCTCCTGCTTCATCCATCCGTATCCTACGTCTCAAAATACCCTTTACTTCTGTTCAAAACTACGTATTACTCATGAGCTTCACACATTAATTAGACAAAGTATTGGTTTTGGAAGACACCTCAATGATCACTGTATACTTTTTTTATTTCAAATTATAAGACGATTTAAAATAAGATTACAAAAATCAATAAATTGCAATAACGATATTTTACAAAACTTACTTTTTCAAAACAGAATTATAAATTTTAAAAAATGCCTCTATATGCATTTAATCATTACATTATAATATCATTTCATTTCTCTCTTCACTTGAAGTGTAATATATATTATAAAAGTATTATAATGAAAATTTATATTTCTCAAATTGTTTATATTTTGGGATACAAAATTCTTTCAAAATTGTCTTACAATTTGGGACAATGGAGTACTAAGAATGTTATTAAATGTTAAAATATTTTATTTTTAAAATATGTATATTTACAAGAAATAAAGTTAAAAATTTATTGAATTTTTTGATAGAGTTAATGAGATTTGATTTTTTTTTTGTTTCAATGAAACATGCTGGAAGTAACTTATCAACA